TATACACAATGGAGTACTACGTGGCAATGAGAAAGAATGAAATATGGCCCTTTGTAGCACCGTGGATGGAACTGGAGAGTGTGATGCTAAGTGAAATAAGCCATACAGAGAAAGACAGATACCATATGTTTTCACTCTTCTGTGGATCCTGAGAAACTTAACAGAAACCCATGGGGAAGGGGAAGGAAAAAAAATAAAAGAGGTTAGAGTGGGAGAGAAAGCCAAAGCATAAGAGACTCTTAAAAACAGAACAAACTGAGGCTTGATGGGGGGTGGGAGGGAGAGGAGGGTGGGTGATGGGTATTGAGGAGGGCACCTTTTGGGATGAGCACTGGGTGTTGTATGGAAACCAATTTGGCAACAAATTTCATATATTAAAAAAAATAAAAAAAATAAAAAAAACCACAACCACTGTAGTTAGATTTTTAAAGCTATTCTTGTACTTCTGAGCAGAGAATTAAAAATGCTCTAAAGCTGAATTTTATTTATTCATTTTTTTGATGGGTACTTTTATCATTATCAATATTGTAGGGTATCATAAGCATGGGTTAGAATTATTTCCTTAGTAAATAATGATAAAGCCAACGGAAAGAAATGAATTACACGTTCTGCACTGAAATTCACACATTAATAAATTTAATTTTTAATTTTAATTTTTTTTAGAGAGTGAGTGTACACATGAGCAGGGCAGGGGTAGAAGATTAGGGAGAGAGAAACTTAAGCAGGCTCCATGCCCATCACAGAGCCCTATGCAGGGCTTGATCTTACAACCCTTGAGATCATGACCTGAGCTGAAATCAAGAGTTGGACACTTAACCTACTGAGGCGCCCCTACACATTAATAAATTGGGCAGTGTTAAAATTTATTTCATCTAACCAAATCTCTTTAGTAGGTACACAGTGGTAAAATAAGTTAATGTTGTTTTTCATAATTGCAATACTTTTTTTTGTTTGGGAAATGGATCAATTTCATAATTATCCATATATATTTCATGGAGGAAATATGTAGTCCTTTTATCTAACCCCCCCCCCCGCCCCGCCATGTAGAGTTGTCGAGGTTATCAATAGCAGTAGGAACTGTTGTGTACACTTGGTAATACCTTGTGCAAGGCCTGAGTGACCTTCTGAGTAAAGAAAATTCATGTACTTATGCACTGTTAACAAGTTTTTAGCTCTCTTAACAAGCCTTTGGAGAAGACTATAATTCAAGGTAGAGATTTATCCCACTAGCATCTGCAGAGGGAACAATTTGCCTGACAATTGTCTCCATATATTCATAGAACATGAAAATATCAATACAAAAGTAAAAGTAGTATTAATGATGTTATTAATGGTAGTAGCAGACACAGACAAAACAGAGCTATTAATCAAACAGCTTCTGAATAGGAAGCATAGATTAGGTAATAAAAGGAAGAATTATTGGCATCTGCTCAATTCTCTAAGTCTAGACACACATGGGCCTGTAAAACCTTACGTCTTAAAAGTTTCTTTGTGCTTGATTCCCACTACTGAGAATGCTGATATTAAGAAATAGGAGTTCCACTACTCTCTCATCCCTATACTTTGGGTGGTGTTGTGACCAAAATCTTCTATAGATTATTCAAAAAACCTTGTTTTTCAAAGGCAATAATGCACTCTGCCAAAAGAAAGATCTTTGGGGTCTTTTTGAAAGATTACAATTTCAAATGTATTTGTAGTTTTCTTTTTTAAAAAAATTTTTTTTAACATTTATTTATTTTTGAGACAGAGAGAGACAGAGCATGAACGGGGAAGGGGCAGAGAGAGAGAGGGAGACACAGAATTGGAAGCAGGCTCCAGGCTCTGAGCCATCAGCCCAGAGCCTGACGCGGGGCTCGAACTCACAGACCGTGAGATCGTGACCTGAGCCAAAGTCGGACGCTCAACCGACTGAGCCACCCAGGCGCCCCTGTATTTGTAGTTTTCAAATCACAATTTTGTATAGTTTTCATTTTTTCATGGAAATACTTCAAATAAACTTATACTCACTGAGTTACTGTTTTCAAATATCAAGCAAAATACCATGTGGCATTGGAGGTTTAATCGATACGATTCAATGATGCTGAAGGTATTTGTAATTATAGCAGCAGCCAGTCTCCCCTCCCTTTCCTCTCCTCCCCTCCACCAACAGACCTCTGTATCAAAGACAGCCTACCCTTGCACTTTTCTCTTCACTTTATACACAACAATAGTTATTGAAGTCATTTGGTTTCCTTAAAATGAAACACTCATTACAAAGATTCAGGATGTGAATTTCTCTAAAAAGCTGTGCTCTAAATCAAAGTAACTGCACATTCTCTTCAGGCTAGAAAACCACAAATTATGGATACTTAATAGAGAATTACTGGGCCCATATATTATATATGTGATTATTTTATATTTGGATGTCTTCCCTCATTATTTGGGATAAATTAAAGTCTTTAATTTGAGACCAAAGCTTTGTAAGCCAGAAGGCACACATTGTGACTTTCTTTCATTTGAAAACCCAACAACCCTGAACCATCAAATGAACTACCCTTGTAGCAGTACCAGTGAGCATAAAAATTTTGTTCTCTGATTTCCAAGTCTAAAGGTGCAGACCAATTTTTGTTTATAATAAAAATATCGATGGAATTAAATGACTTGCGTAGCCTCCTCATCAAGGGATGAACTTGCCCATATAGATGTCGTAAACTTTAAATTCTATCAGCTTAAGGAAAATATACTGGGTTGGTGTCAGATGCAGATGCACTCCAGGCCTAAAGAACTGGCCTCAAGAGGTAAGACACAGTGACTATGTTGTCCAAGTCTGATACAATGCTTGTGACAGGCACTTGTCCCCAGATTGAAGTCAGACTGTATTACAGCAAATGTAACCAAAGGGAAAATACTTAAAGACTCTGTATGGGTGGAAAAGGCTATTATTCTGTCCCAGCTTAAGGTTGGCTGGTGTATGGGTGGTGGTGGATCAATCTCTGAGCCCTGACATCAAACCTGGGGCCTCAGAGCACCACTGGCCCACAGTCATTGTAGCCATCCTCAAGGGACACAGTAATTGAACAAGGATGCCTAGGCTGCTGGCACTCCCAGCACTGGGAAAAGTGTGGTTCAAGCTCACATCTTAAATGTTAGCCCTGGCATTTGGATTTTGAGAGACTTATCAACCTGCTTCAGTGATCCTTGCTTCAAAGAAGACATTTTATAATAGAGTTCTATTGGAATCCCTTCTTTTCAATGAGGGATTACTGCTAATGCCAGTTAAGTGAGTGACTCATGTGCTATCTAAGTATTTGTTCTTCAGTGGGGAACAACAGTATTCAGGAGACGATATATAGAGATATTTGTCAAGTTGTATCATTACCATTGACTAGAATGTCACTTAATTGGAAACATGTTTGTTTGATCTATGGAAGGTGCCCCTTTAACAAATGGCTAAGAGTAGTCATCAAATGAATATTGGATTCTCAGTGGAGAATTGAAATCTTCTTGATGCAACTAAAATGCAATACAGTTTCTGTTAGTTCCACTGTGTTGCCACACAGACTAAGAACAAAATTAATCAGAGGCTTTTAGTCAGACAATGGGTTTCTTCTGAAATAATGATAGCTTTTGTGAGGGAGTAAGGACAGAAAGCAAAGAGGAGCTGATGGCAAATTGGAAGAAGCAGCCAAGAATTTGTCCATTTAAAGTGATTTTTGGATTAAAGAATAGTTTTCAGTGGATGTTCTAGAAAAGATATTATTTTTAAAACAGACTTTTAAAAGCAAAGAATAATTAGTTACTTAGTTACTACTAATAACGATCATTTAAAATAATTAATGACATGAAATATGTGGAGACTGGACTTTTGGAGAGAAAGTGGTATAAACAGAAAAAAATCTCTTTTGAATGATTAGGTATTTATATGCTTTATCTTTCAGTTTATGAGTGTTTTTCTTCAGTTTTAGAATATAAAATTTAAATCTAAGAAATTCTCTAAAAGATTAAATGATTTTTCACTGCCTTTAGCAAAGAAATGTTCATGATGCCAAATATAATGTGAAGGCAGGATAATTACATGTTACCTCTTCATTTCTTTCATTCCTTGATGCCATTAGAAATAAAAGAGCAGTAAAAATGAAATGAGTAAAGTATCAGCATTAAAACTATTTATGCGGACCTAGTTGATCTCTTTGGGCTTGAATACATTTAAAGCAGAAGGCATATCTGCAAATTCTTGATGGATGTCCAAACAGCAACAAAGAAAGAAAAAATTACCCACCTACAACAGGAAGTTCATTTACAAAGGGTGAATGAGAAGGTGTCTTTAAGAGACCAACTTACGTTAATAAGTTCAACCTCCCAGATTTTTTTCAACAGGTCCATCGATGTGTAGCCATTAATTAGAAAGGCTTTGGTGTAGTCACCTAGTTCAATGGAATCCAGCCACTCAGCAACAGAAGTGGGATGATAGCCATCATGGCCAATGGGTCTCATCTGTAATTTAAAAAATCACATTAGGATTAGGTTACTTTGTGTTCTGTCAAACAATGGATTTTGCCACTTGGAAATTCATCTGATGTGAAGCAACAGATCTTTTTGGATAAGAAAATAAGGAAAACCAAAATACTTTACGCACAATTCTAAATCATTGATAATTTTCACGCTGAATTAGTTTTCAAAACTGCACCCAGAAATTTCTAATGTAGTTGCTATCTCCACTCCCTATTTGAGAAAACAAAATATGTCAAATTTCTGTTATAAACATTATTGACAGTCTGTTGGATGGAATTTAAAATCATGTCAGTTGAGCAGTATTAAATTCAATGCTGAAGGCACAAGAAACTGTGCTCCCAAAATGTAGATGATAATTCTCATATGTATAACATCAAAGCATGTGAAAATAATGCATGACTTAAACATCCAAAGGAATTCATGCTTATGCAAGACATGTATTGTAGGTAGTGCAAACACGCTGGAGAAACATACTGCCGTGTGAAGCAGTGAAGAAGAGGCTTTTGGGTGTTTAGAGACCATGTGTTCTGCATAGACTCTACAGTATGTTAGACATGAATAGAGAACTTGCTGGCAGACAGGTTCCTATTTTTTGTCAGCTATATACAGATTTTTTTTTTCTTTAGGAGAACAAAGAAGTGTGACAGCAGCATAATGTTTCTCAGTTTAAATTGGAGTGTGAAAGTAATTTAAGCAAGAGAAACTTCTGGGTTTAAAATTTTGTATGATTATTCTAGTCTTTTAGCTTTTATTTGGAATTTTAGTTGAATTTGTGGTTCTTGGATTTTGAAGTAACTCACTTCTAAGGCTTGGCGTTGCTCTGGATGCCATGCGGTGTATCTAATACTTCAGCTATTATGGACAGGTGGTGCTTCAGCAACCGGATGTGATCCTTCAGTGAAATTCATGATGGGAATAGCAAACTGGGCAAAATACATAGATTTTCCTCTCCCTTCAGATTCAAGGAGATAAATATTAATGGAAATCTAGATGATTCTGATTTGTTAGCAGAGAAAAGATTAGTCTGGTTGTCAGGGATTCAGATTTTAATCCTAAACATGGTAGGCTTTCTGTCACTATGCAGCATTCTCATTTTGGAGATTCTTCTCACTCTTCCATTTGTTTTTCTGGATTCAAGGTGTTCATTAGGGATCAACACCTGTGAAAAGGAGGGATGAGAAGCAGAGTTGGGCAGAAGAAGAGATGGATTGTGATGGGTCCTGGCGAAGCTCTGTAGCAAAGGTCATGCTATTCGAGGTCATGTGCTGGGCAGCCTTTGTGCCCCATCATTCAGCTGGATATGGCTGCCATGGGAGAAGCATGACTCTAGCGAGGCTGCTCTCCATAGCAGAGGCAGACCCTGCAGATGCTGACAGCTGGAGGCTGTCTGCTGACCACTCTCCCTGCTGCTGGGCAAGTCCTTCCTTGATGACAGAGCCTGGAGGAGCATTTCCGTGTTTTCCAGAATATTCTGGACCCGGAGTCACCTAAGGTTAACGTTTTGCCACGTTTGGTTTCTACCTTTTTCTCTACACCCACTTCCTCATTCACATGCACACAACACACTTTGTTTTAGGTGAACCATTAGAAAGATGTTTTTTCACCTAACACTATTTGCAGACATCATGAAACTTCACCCCTTGATGCTTCAGTATGCATCTTCCAAGAATAAGGGCATGCTCCTACATAGCCATAGCAGCATCACACTCAAGAAGTTTATCATTGATAAAGTTATATTATCTAATATACAGTCCATATTTAAATTCCCCACATATATGCCAAATAGAACTTGTAACTTATTTTCCTTCTGGACAAGCTCAATCAAAAGTCAAGGCAATTATATTTTTAAGGATTTCTTCTGCCTTTTTCTCTCTTATTCTTCTGGGATTATGTTTACTACATCATTTTTTAAATTACTTTTTCTCCTTTCCTCTTTCCTATCGTTCCCAATCTATTTTCCATTTTGAGGCTTAAATGTCCTCTATTGGGAGTTATGGTGTAACTCATCATTTGCATGACAGTCTGAACTGCATCAGGCTTTTTGTATGTCACTTGTACATTGGACTGACCCAGTTTAACTACTCACTGAATGTTTGTTCAGTAACACTTAACACAATGTTTATTATGCAGTAGCTACAAATGTAAATGGCAACTCACGGTTTGTAAAATGAAGTTTAGTGGCAGTTGCAAATAACTGAATGTTGTGTATGTGTAAAATTGAAGATTAGGATCCAAAGCAGAGGCACAAAGTATTAAGTACCTCATATTCTATAGAGTTATAAAAACATTGGGCTAGGGATATTCTCCAGTACTTATTAAGAGGTGGTTGATCCAATGCTACTATGCTGATTACTCACTGCAGCTTAGGAAACTCCCTGACTGTCCCAGTTGACAGAAGGAAATAACTGGAGAAAGGGCAAGAAGGAAGGGAGAGAAGCTCATTGGAGTTGAAATTAGCAGCTTGGCAAAGGTCTTACTGTTAGCCATCCAGGATCTGATGACCCCAGCAGTAGATACAGGGGATAAACTTAGGAAGCCTTGAATCAGTCTGGGGTGGAGTCAGATGTCCCATACCAGAGAACTCAGCGCGCACACGCGCGCACACACACACACACACACACACACACACACACACACACACACTACTCCTTTGAGAAAGCAATTACTTGTCATCTGCTACACAGAGGTTGGTTGATGATCAGAGTTGGCCAAAGAGTGGTGGTGGGGATACCAACTAGACCTCTTCAAAGCAAACCCTATTAGTGTAAAAAAAGTTTGTTTTCAAACTGAGGGTTGATGGGGGGTGGGAGGGAGGAGAGGGTGGGTGATGGGTATTGAGGAGGGCACCTTTTGGGATGAGCACTGGGTGTTGTATGGAAACCAATTTGACAATAAATTTCATATATAAAAACAAACAAAAAAAGTTTGTTTTCCCCTCCAATCCCTCCTTCTTGCCCCAGTGGCAGCAAATTTAGAATCAGAAAAGAGAGAGGTACCAGTCCCTTGGGGTAAGCCTAAACTTGGGAAGGGGAAGGTCAAAGGGAATAAAATTAGAGGCTTAAGTGGATTGGAACTGAGTTTTTAATATTTTACATGACTGGAAAGTTATTGGATATGTCTGAATGACATTAAAAATGACAGAGCAGCTGAACTTGGTTGAAGGTAGGATTGAAAAAAAAATAAATCATATCAGTATCTGACTAAACGCAGACTGCTAAGTAATCTGGTTACTCCCGTGAGGCGAGTTCTCCCTGAGCAACCTTAAGGAGGTGAGAGGGAGGAACGTGTTTGGTGGGAGAATGGGAGATGGGAACAAGGTAGAGAGCAAGAGTGAAGAGAACCTGGAGATGAACATGCTGATGTATACGGGGGCAGCGTTGATCCAGCCACTGACTTGATAAATATTTAGTTAGTGTCTGTTCTGATGAATGTTGTGGAACAGTACAGAACAAAACAGTCATAGTCTCTCCCTCAGGGAAATTAATAACTCTTAATTAGAAAGTATATAAACAGATGACCAATCAATTATGAAGGCTCTGCATACCTGAATAGAGGAAAGCATTAGAGCCAAATGAAGTTACAAAATTAACTTGACACGTATTTAATGGTATGCAGAGTGGTTACTGTGCTGCACAATAATTTCTTTAGAAGCAATTCTTCCATCTGTTCTTTCATTTCTGTTCCTACTGTCACTACCCTGTTTAGGTTCTTGTTAGTGCTTACAAAAACTAACGCAAGAGCCTTCCACGTGGCCTCCCACTTTTGGTTTCGCTTATATCATGCTGCTGCATCAGTTTTCCAAAAAGCCAGGCTTTTAAGTCAACGCTTGCACAAAAACCTATAGTGGCTCCTTCTCGGTAAAAATGCAAATGTCCTATTCCAGAATTCTAGGACAATTGCGATCAAGTACAAACTTATGTTTTCAAATTAATCCCATACTACTCTGCCATGTGTACCATAAACAGTATATTAAGTTGCTAGCCATGCCATGAACATGTGCAAGACACTTTTGTATTTTTGCTAATATTATTTTCCATGCTTGGAATGCTTTGGCTTCTATTTCTATAGTGTTTCTTCAGGATTGGTTTCTCTTCTTGAGCTTGAAGATACAAATTTCCAAAAATTTGCAGGATTTCTCACATAGAGGGACTATAGCTATCACATAACACAAGTCAAAAATGTATCTACTTCAGCTCACAACCGGCCCTCCCTCTCAGTTTCCAATCTCAGTTAGGGGGGAAGTATTACACCATTTCCCAAGTAGATGCTCAGGAGTCATCTTACTTTCCTCTTTCTGTTTTACTATCATATTTAATTAGGCAACAAGTCTCATAAATTTGATTTTAGTTCCCTCCTTCCAAAGTGGACTTTGGAACCTGACAATAATATCTACTTCAAGTGTTGTTGTAAAGATTATATCATATAGGGCATGTAAATTGCCTATCACAGTACTTTGAATATAATACGTCTTCAATAGCTCAGTTTTCTTTCCTCACCACTGCTCTAAATTAGGTTCGTGCTTATTCTTATTTATTTATTTGTGTGTTTTTTTAGCCTATGCTTTGAAACTGCATAATACTGAATCCTTTGGCTGCTAATCCTTTCAACTTCTAATCAAGATTCTTCTTTCCTCTGTCATCCCTCTCTTTTCCTCACTTCATTCCTTTCCTATCTTGTTTTAAAAAGGGTTTATGCCTGCTAACCTCTTTATACTCTGCCTTCCCCCAGCAGATAGCTACTTTTCAGAAATTCATCTAACAAGGCCACTCAAGTAGATTGAATTGTTATTTATAATTCCTCACTTTCTTCCTGTATTAGAATTATGTCTCTGTGCCCTTTGCCAAGGGATCTGCATTGTATCCACTGTGATTGGAGTCACTTCTCCATCCACTGATGTTGGCCATGTACTTGCTTGGCCAATGGTACAGGTAGAAGTGTCAGTGTGACAATTTATAGGTAAGGAAGGCTCTGTACTTCTGTGA